AACTATAAGAAATTAATAAAATTATTAATTAATTGATTAAAGATCAATAACATTAAGTGGATAAATTTAATCAACACTATTAACCTACCCCAAATCAGGCTACAATCTTACGCTTGAAGCCATGATGCTCTGTGCATAGTTATTGCAATGGCCATAGATCTGGCAATGGTGTCAGCAGCATTCATTGCTGTGTTTAGGGCTGTCTTGGCCACAAATAGGCCTTCTTAGATTATTTCTTTAAGCTTTTCCTTGTTCTAAGGTAGGAGCTTTGATAGAAGGTTTTCATTCTACCCCAGGTCAAAAAATCATACTTGGCCAGAAGGACCTGATAGTTTGCCATAATTGGTGAGAGTAGAGGAACAGGATTTCCCCAGAAACAGGTAAAGCTTTTTGCCGGGGGGGTGGAGGGGTGTCTTTGTTCTCAGGGGATGGAAACATTTGGATCCTTTTCATGAACTTTGTACTGCTTTTCCACCCTCTTTGTGGTGGGTGTTACTGTGGCAGGTGTCTGCCATAAGGCCTTAGTGGGACTGAGCAGTCCTTCATTTATCATAAGGATGATCCTGGCCGAGCTGAAAGTTGTCAAAATGTGGAACAACTTTTATGAAATTTTTCTTTTATGATAGATAATTCTATTTCTAGAGTGTCTGCAATTCTCATGAGAAGTTTTTGAAATGATTTGAAGTCATCCCGCACTAGTACTGGTGCTGAGGACACTTCTTTATCAGAAGACAAGGATGAGAGGTTCTAAGGTGGTGAAATAGGATGTTGTTATTGCAGTGGCTCCAGGTCTGGTGGCTCTTAGTATTCCTCTCAATCTGGTGTCAGGGATGCTACTCAGGAGAACGATCTCTTTCTCTTCTTAGAATGTAGTAGAGATCAGCTCCTAGTAGCATATGAGGACAGACTTCAGTAAGCCCAATAAGGCCATAGCAGCATGCCATAAGGATATGGCTGGTTTGTGTGATATTAGTCAGTCTAATGCCATTCTTGAGATGATGGCAGCTAAGCCCCATAGGGAGAGTCAACTAGTTTTTCTACAGTATCGCCCAGAGATCTCAGAGAAAAGGGTTCTCTACTTGAAGAAGATGAGAAGATATGTCCTGGTGTTGGACAGGAGCAGCAGATCCCAGCTAGGGATGGGACCAAGGCACACAGTACTCTTGGTACCAGGGTCTTCATAGGTATCAATAGGTGCCTCAGTACAGAGGTCATTTCGAGTTCTTCCAGAAGTTCATTTTGCACACTTTGTTTGACCGTAGGCATCAAAACCAAAGGTTGTATCACCAGTGCTGGGGTTGGTGTTAGTGACATTTTTTTCTATGCTGCAGTGGTAGGCTTCTCCCTAATAATAGCTCTCAAAGTCATGTGCAGCTTAGTGGTTTTCTCCACAGAGACCCTATGTGGTCTATCCTTGTGGGATGACACTGCACTCTAGAGTTTCTGCATACATGTCTGGGGCGGACTCACTTTGTGCCAGCCTTTGTGTGATATTGATACTGGCATTGGTGTCAATGTTGTGGGTTTCAGTGCAAGTTGAGTGAGTGCACGTGCCAGGTCTTTTCTCTGTGCCATTTTCTGCATGCTGGTTTTAGGCACTGTGTGTCTGCTAAACAGGGTCCTCAATGAAGTTGGCTTGACTGGTATTTGTCTCCTCCAGATCGGAAGAGATCTTCATAGATTGTTCCAGTAGATGAAGCTTCAATCACAAGTCCTGCAACTTATTTATGTGTACTCAAAGAGAGCGACTGGCATGCCGAGCATCTATCTGCTGTATGGGTCTCCCTTAAAACAAAAGAGACACATGCTATGTCCATCTTTTAATGGAGTTAATCTGTTACAGGAAGGGCAGAGCTTGAAGCCCACAGGTTTAGAATCCACTATGTTCAGGTGCCCTCTACAGAGAGGTCTGTACAGGATGGGATGTATGTTGGGGTCAATATAGGGGTGTCTGATTGCAAAAATTCTGTTCAGATGGGTCAATTTCATGGTAGTTCTTTCTATATGAGTCAGAAGAGTTCTGAAGTTTTAAAATGATTTTGAGACTATCCAGCCAGAGGTAAAGACTAGTGGGCCAGGTACTTGCCAGGTTCCATCTCACTGCCACAGATGGTAAGAGGGGAGGGTTGTGTTCACTCCACTCTCTATGCCTTTGCACAGGAGTATGAGGAGACACAGGGCATATCCAGAGCCCTGATTGACACTGCTATTCAAAAGCCTCTGATCTGGTATACATGAAGCACCATGTGCACCTACAGTGAGATCTACACTGATACATAATCAAAAAAGTTCCTATTCCTGCCTGGCCTCTTGGGCTTTATTACCAACTGGTATAGCTTAATGCAACCCTGAGGCCACACTAAGTTACGTCTGGAACCAAGTCAGGCATCAGATGGTGCCAGTATTGGAGGAGACCAGAGATCCTGCACCAAGCACAGTTTGATCAGACCCAAGTTTCAAGGCCACAATACCTACAGCAACATTGGCTTGTCCACGCTGTACATCTGTAGCATGTTCTATTTCTATTATTTGTCAAGTGTATCTTACAAAATACTACATAAGTGCCAGGTGAGAAAATTTACACTGCTGAAGGAACCTTCACTTTTTACTATCCTCAATGTTTTATGACCTGACTTTTAAAAAAATAAATAACAATGTAATCTTAATGTTGCAGTAAAAAAAGGTTTGCATTTAATATTCTATTAAAACCCACTTACTAAAACTATGTAGGTTACTTAAAAATGGCACTAGTTCATAAATGTTTCCTTTTTAATTGGTTTATAATACATCTTTGACCATCATTCTTTACTTCTGGCCTGAACCAGATACACTTTAGTCAATAGGAGTTTATCCATTGACTTCAATAGCTGTTGGAACAAGATCTACTTGCCAAAAAGTAGGGACCATAATTCTACATATGTAGATGCCAGCACAGTATTCCAAAACAGAATTTTAGATTTATTGGATGCTTCTGAGATATAATCTCAACATTACAGAATTCTATCCTCCATAATCTTGCTGTTTGAAATATGCTAAAATGTGTCAATGGTTAAAAGTTCTGTATTGGTGAATTACTGGTATACAGACCTGGGTGAAATAAGTAAATAACTGTTATGGTATCAGTGCTGGAAAATTCCTCTAATTTATTTTGATCCACATGAGCCCTGATCCTATTCTTTGCATATTTTAATTTTTTTCATCCTTCCTGTGGCAACTATTTTACTGGATAGTTGTGAATTACATTGAGGGTCTCATGACAGAGGGAATAAGATATTAATTTCTTTCTATTTACCTAAAATCACATTTTCTCTGCTTATATCAACTGCTTAGAGAATGGAATTTTTATATTGTATATAAGTAGATGGGTTTTTCATGCAATGTATCATTAGAAACTTCTCCCACCTTTGGAGGGATTTTTTTCCCCAAGTGTGTAAGATTTTGAAAAAACATTGAGTAAGGGTGGGACTCACAAAGACACTTAGGAACCTACACCCCAGAGTTAGGCAGCTAGGCCTAATAGGCACTGAAGTCCCCATTTTAGGCTCCACTGCAACCCATAAAGTGCCTACCAAACTCTGCAGGTGCCTAAATTTTGAAGGTAAAAGTTCCTTGGCACCAAAATTTCTGCCTCTGGGCATGTCACTGGGTGGCAGGGGATGGGAGGGTAAAAGTGACTCTGTAGCCTGATGGTTAGGACACCCACCTGAGCTGTGGTAGACAAAGGGTCCAGCCCCCTGCTCCACTTATTCTTTAATTATTTATCCACAGTGGAGTAGCTTTAACAGGAGTAACTGAGGGTGCACCATATCAGACTACCCAACAGCTCAATGGTTAGAGCACTCTCCTAAAAGGGGGAGGCCCATGTTCAAATCCTTTTTCCCCCTCAGGAAGAGGGGGGAATTGAGTCTGGGTCCTCCCATGTCCCAGGTGAGTGCTCTGAGCTAAATGTTATAAGATAAATTCCACCTTTTCCTCCTCCAACTGTTTTGTGTTCAGTTATAGGAGCCTGCCTGACATTCTCACAAGAAACATCTTAGGTGCCTAAGCCAACAAACTTTAGGAAAGAAATTCCTGGTTGTGTATCACTAGCAGAAATAGGCACCTCCCTGCAACCTGCACTTAGGCAGGTATCTCCATAAGAGGGGCACATTAATAAAGAATAAATCAATTTTCCTATACTTCATCCTGAAACACCAAAGTTATTTAAGAAATCTTTAACATACATACCAATTACCATATCTATTTTAATCATGTCATTGTGTTGTGATAATTTTAGTTGCATTACATATAGTAACTACTATACTATATTGCTAATTCTAACAAAATCCCTGTATTCTAATACTCCAAAACAAATAGTTTTACCCTTTGGCTTGTGTCCTCTTTTTTTTCCCTTTCAATGCTCTTTCCTTTATCTGTTGCATTCCTAGAAATAAACGGAATATCACTATGAATCTTCATTAAGTCAGAGGAAAATATTGTGTTGGGGAAAAACAGTTATTTTGTATTAAAAAGTGCTGAAGCCTTCCAATAAACTTAAATACTTCAGCAACAAAACCTAACAGCCATTTTATTTGTAGCTTCTTTCTGCAGGCCTCAGGTGATGACGTGAACCAGTGTTTCTCAAACTGGGGCCGCCGCTTGTGTAGGAAAATCCCCTGGCGGGCCGGGCCGGTTTGTTTACCTGCCCCGTCCGCAGGTCCGGCCCGCCAGGGGCTTTCCCTACGCAAGCGGCGACCCCAGTTTGAGAAACACTGGAATAAATGATGACTCGGCACACCACTTCTGAAAGGTTGCCAACCCCTGGTTTAGAAGCTTGACTTTAGGCACCTAGATCTGAAATTTTTGGTTAATACTAGTTATTGTAATACATTGCCTTTTATCTGAAGATTTCAAGCCCCCTCCTCTATCCATAAGACAACACTGCCTCATTAGACAAGTTGTTAAAGCCTCTTGCAATACAACGGCTTACATTATGCTGTAGAATGATACGAAGAGCAGCTTTAAAAAAAAAAAATTCTAAATATTCTAAAGTCATTTCCAGTTCCTACCTGCAGTTTCTGATGTATGACATATAGCTCGTCATAAATCTGGTTGATGTGAGATGGTATTAATCTTTGACCACTCAATACCTGAGTTTCAGGCTTGCTCACGATCTTCCTAACCAGACCACTACTGATATCATGGTCACTACATGTTACTGTGTTTGTAGCCAAATTGGATGGTAGGGTGACATCTAAGAAATGAAAAGAACACATTTTATAAAAATTATTCTTGCAGTTTAGATTAATAAATCAGATGACCAGTTATTGTTACATAAAAGTAGAAACACGTTAGGCTTTTGTGATTAAATAGCAGTATACCAGGTACTAAAGTGAAAAGTTAGTCTGAGTATCTCCTGAGATACTATGAGTATTTATTCACAACCTTTATCATCTATTTCCTGTGATTCATTTTGGCCTATTATTATTAGTTTTCTGATCAGTGCAGTTTAATACATAAATTATATCCTAAGCCTACACGCAGAAGTCCAACAGACATCACTAGAAGATCTGTGCGCAGACTGAAAGCACAATATAGCTATTAAGCAGTAACTATTTCTCAGTGTTTTGACTGGTTCTTTTGGTGATGGTGGGAGAACATGAAGGAACATTATGAGAGATGTTTTTATGTGGAAGTCAAATAATGTCTTGGAACAGTGTTATTTAATCAGACCACCTATTCTTAACATTGAAAATGTTTCATTTTATAAACTGAAAATACTGTTTTAATAATGGCTGGCTTTTTCTTTTTCTCTATTTCTTGATCCATAACATACAATAATCAGAACTGCACTGCCAGAGTCTTAAAAAGGCCAATCTTTTAGAAAAGAATTTGTCTTGTTTATATATAATACAATTATGACTAGATCTACTAAGGGGGAGGGATAGCTCAGTGGTTTGCGCATTGGCCTGGTAAACCCTGGGTTGGGAGTTCAATAATGGGGGAGGGATAGCTCAGTGGTTTGAGCATTGGCCTGCTAAACCCAGGGTTGCGAGTTCAATCCTTGAGGGGGCCACTTGGGGATCTGGGGCAAAATCAGTACTTGGTCCTGCTAGTGAAGGCAGGGGGCTGGACTCGATGACCTTTCAAGGTCCCTTCCTGTTCTAGAAGATGGGATATCTCCATTAATTATAATTATAATTATTATAATTATAAAACATTACATCTCAAAACTAAAATATAGTTTACTCAATTAATTTTATTAATTGGATTATGAAAAAGATTCAGTTGAAACCTGAATAAAGGTTTTATTTTTCATACATATAAGTCAAAAGTTATGTGATAAATTGAAGGTGAATTTAATATTTTTCTGATTACCTGTTTCTGTATATGTGTACGTGACTGTATTTGGAATTGCATCAGTTGCAGAGACATTTACAATGACCTCTTCCTCTAGTTCTAGCTGACTTGAATCATAGAGCGAATCCAGCTCATCATCACAGCTAAAAAATACAAATGGATGACATGAATCTGAAATTATTCAGTGCCATTCTAAAATGTTATGCATGTAATGTAAAGAAGATTTGCATATTAATACAACTGTTTCTCATTCCAGCATATTTACATTTGACTGAATGCAAAGAGACAACACTAAGTAATTTGAAAAGCACTTTGAGATCCCTTCAGAATGAAAAGCACTTATAAAATAAGATATTAACTACAGTCAAACAATGAAATTGATGACTTCGCAAAACCCGTGGAACAAGTAAGCGATCTAATTTTCATAAATTATATGCATGCAACAACTAAACCACTTTTATAACAGATCAAAGCACAACTTTTTTTTCTTCCAAACAGGATATCCAGAGAAGAAAATAAAAGGTGTGATATATGTTCTCTTTCAGGTTGGTGCATTGGGGCATTAAGATTATCTCTCTGGAGTCTTCTAAATAGATTTAAGACTATCTTGTCAACTCTGACTGTCTCCCTTTCTCCTCACTTGTTTAGTCCCTTATATATCTTAATCCCTGCATCCCACAAGCTGAGCCCGACACATATAGTTATCTCAAGTAAGTGGATGAACTGCCCTACCCAAAATCAGCGTTCACATTTAAGGCTGTCGATTAATTGCAATTAACTCACGCGATTAACTCAAAAAATTTAATCGCTATTAAAAAATGTAATCGTGATGAATTGCACTGTTAAACAATAGAATACCAATTGAAATTTACTAAATATTTTTGGATGTTTTTTCTAAATTTTCAAATATATTGATTTATATTACAGCACAGAATACAAAGTGTACAGTGCTCACTTTCTATTATTTTTTATTACAAATATTTGCACTGTAAAAATGATAAACAAAAGAAATAGTATTTTTCAATTCACATCATACAAGTGCTGTAGTGCAATCTCTTTAACGTGGAAGTGTAACTTACAAATGTAGATTTTTTTTGTTACATAACTACACTCAGAAACAAAACAATGTAAAACTTTAGTGCCTTCAAGTCTGCTCAGTCCTACTTCTTGTTCAGCCAATCGCTAAAACAAACAAGTTTGTTTACATTTATGGGAAATACTGCTGCCTACTTCTTATTTATAATGTCACCTGAAAGTGAGAACAGGCATTCGCCTGGCACTTTTGTAGCTGGTGTTGCAAGGTATTTACGTGCCAGATATGCTAAACATTTGAATGCCCCTTCATGCTTTGGCCACCACTCCAGAGAACATGCTTCCATGCTGACAATGCTCATTAAAAAATAATGCATTAATTACATTTGTGACTGAACTCCTTGGGGGAGAACTGTATGCCTTTGGCTCTTTTTTAATCCACATTCTGCCATATATTTCATGTTATAGCAGTCTCAGATGATGACCCAGCACATGTTCATTTTAAGAACACTTTATCTACAGATTTGACAAAACGCAAAGAAGGTACCAATGTGAGATTTTTAAAAATAGCTATGGCACTAGACCCAAGGTTTAAGAATCTGAAGTGCCGTCCAAAAATCTGAAAGGGACAAGGTCTGAGCATACTTTCAGAAGTCTTAAACGAGCAATACTCAGATGCGGAAACTACAGAACCCAAACCACCAAAAAAAAAAAATAATAATAATAATAATAAATCAACCTTCTGACTCAGATGATGAAAATGAACATGGGTTGGTCCGCACTGCTTTGGATTGTTATTGAGCAGAACACATCATCATCAGCAAGGACGCATGTCCTCTGGAATGGTGGTTGAAACATCAAGGGACATATGAATCTTTAGTGTATCTGGCACGTAAATATCGTGCTATGCGAATGCCTGTTCTCACTTTCAGGTGACTGGCTGAAGTAGGACTGAGTGAACTTGTAGGCTCTAAAGTTTTACATTGTTTTATTTTGAATGTAGTTACAAATGTAGAATTGTATACAAAATGTAAGTTCAACTTTCATGATAAAGAGATTGCACTACAGTACTGTATTAGATGAATTGAAAAATACTTTTTTTTAAATTGAAAAATGTTACAGTGCTAATATTTGTAATACAAAATAAATAATAAGTAAGCACTGTATTTTGTATTCTTGTTGTAATTGAAATCAATATATTTGAAAATGTAGAAAACATCCAAAAATATTTTTTAAAATGTTATTCTATTATTGTTTAACACTACAATTAATTTTTTTAATCGCTTGACAGCCCTATTCACATTATTACATTAGTAAGACAGAAGCTGATCCTTACTGACCACGAAAGTATGAGTATACAAAAACTGGGAAAGCTATGCCTTGCACATGGCAACCTGCTATTGGATCCGTCTGAAAATCCTACATAATGTATTAAGGGTTAACTCATGATTTGTTTAGATTTTGGGTTTAAGGGGAGGATGGGAGGAAGAAAAAGGGGCCTAAGGACATATGAGGGAATGAGGGTTCATCTCTTACCAATCCAAGTTTTTGAAACTCTTGAACAAGTCACTAAGAGGTTTGCTATAGTGCTTTCTTCCATTGTGGGTACTTTTTGATTGTGAAAAATGTATGGACAAAGGCATAATTGTATTATCTGATGAACTGTCCAAGTTACCTATAAAATAATTCAAATATTAAATATTTCATTTTGCAGTTGAAAAGCACACATTAAAAAAATCCAGAATGATTTAATTAATATATTTTGTACTCTGTAAGGGTTATTGCTTAAGAGAACAAAACCCAGAATCAGAACATATTAGAACGAGCTCTGACAAGTTAGGAATTAAATTTAGAGAAACACAAAATACTAGCTAAATTGTATTTTAATAATAATTTAAAACTGAAAATTTTTATAGATGACTAAAAAAATTAAGTCCTAAAAAAGTCCTAACAAAATTAAACCTGAAAAGTTCTATGTAAGCTCAAAAGTTTGTGTCTCTCACCAACAAAAGTTGTTCCAATAAAAGATATTAGCTTATCCACCTTGCATTTCTAAAACCATTAAGTCAATTTTAAAGAACATTCAAACTTATTACATTTTTAAGAATCTTTTTAAAAGCTTAGTTCTGTTACTAAAAACATTTTAGAAACCTAAACTTTGTTTTCAAGTCACATCTATCTTCCTGAAGTTTTACAATTTGCATTCATATGCTAATTGCTGTGCAAATTTGAAGTTTGAACAACATAGCCTGTTACTTGCTTATCATGAGCATCAGCATAGGAACATGCATTTCTTTGGAACCCCACCTGCATAGTAACCATTAAGTTCATATCTGTACATTTAAAAAGTGAATGTATATAAAAGTCTTAGATTATATAACCTAAAACTTTTTTAAAGATTTTAAGTTTCCTGTTTTAATTTTATTTTTTATAATTTGCGTCATGCAATGTTTAACTGCATCCCCTCCAGTTAGCAATCCTAGGCACCTGCATGTACTGTACACGCAAGGCCAACCTTAGGGAAACTGGTGCCCTAGAGGAACTTGTATTTTGGCACTCTGGCCCTCATGGGTGTCCCCCTCATTGTCCCAGTCCCCCGTGGGTGCCCCCTTGTAACCCAGCCCCTAACCCCTGCAATCTCTCCTGCACCCACATGGGGAAGCTGCCACATGGAGCGTCCTTGACCACCGGGCACCCTGGGCGGCTGCCCGGGTGATCCACCCCTAAGGACAGCCCTGTGTACATGGCTATAAAAGCAACATATTGCCACATAGGGAGCTACCCAATACCACCCACCTCAAAGAATTTCCCACAAACCGACTCCCTCTCAACAAGACACTTACTCCATCCCACACAATCCAACTGATGGCAGCCAGTTCTCATATATGTGCCAATGATAACCAAATGCTTCTCTCTGCCACATCCCAATAATAGCCAATCCTCACCTTCTCAAACATATAGAATAAGATTGTCATACATATACTAGAACATTACTTACCGTGAGTGGGGTGTGCATGTAGCTGATTTTCATTCTATGGATGAAAGTAAGGGTACGTCTCCACTAGCCATGTTACAGCACGGCCGCAGCAGCACTGTGACGTGGGCAGCGTAGACACGCGTTATCGCCAGGGGAGAAATCGCCCGGTGATAAAAAAAAAAAACCACCCCAAACAAGCGGTGTAGCTTTATCGCCGGGAGATAAAACACTGTCTATACTGGCGCTTTTCAGCACTAAAACTTTTATCACTCGGGGGGGTGGGGGGTGTTTTTTCACACCCCTGAACAACAAAAGTTTTAGCACTGAAAGTGGCAGTGTAGACACAGCCTAAGACTCTATTGCAGTACTGGGCCATTACAGTCACCTTCCCCCGCCCCCAAAAGGTTATTGGTACTAGTTTTCGCTTTAATGTCCAGCTAGTGGAGCTTTCTTTTTAGACACTGTGGGAGCAATACTCTTTTTTACCCATATCTTCCTTACCAGCAGCTCTCCTTCTCACAGGGAAGATACATAAGCATTAGCAATTCCTCTCCTGCAAACCCACCCGCAACTGCAATGCAAGGACATTTCCTAGAGTACTCCTGTAGAATCCATACATATGTATACACTTCCAGGCTGGTGCCCAAGTTTCACAAACACAAACCAATGTCTGCCTACTTAAAATACACTTGGAGAAAATATAAAACTACTCCCCCAAAGCACAGGAATTCTTAAGATAAATTTAAAGAATGGTGAATTTGAACGGATGTTCCTTTTAACAAAGATATCCAAAACATCCTTTTTGTGTATTACCTGTATATGTTAGGGAGTTTCCTTTTTTACATTTGTTCTGTAATGAACCTGAAAGACAATCCTAAGAGAAAACAGAAAAAAAGTCCCTACTATTTTTAATTCCATTATAATGTATGTTACAATGTATCTGTTTACAGTTTATAGTGCCTTTACTAAGGAATTGCTGTTAAAAGATGTTTGCTTTGAGCAGAGGATGATTTTTCCTAAACAAAAATGTAAGTGAAACCTCACACAAACATAAGCGAAGAAACAAAAAAACCCTATAAACTAATCAAGCTACTTCCCCATAAGCTACAAATGAAAGATTGCTAACATTATTTCTATTTTTGAAAACTTGAGAGACCCTCAAATACCTCAGCGATAAGGGCCATTCAAGTAAATAGGTGTAAGTAGATTAGGTAGCCATAGAAACAGCTCCATCCAGTCCTACATTTCAGCCTATCACGCCAACATTTCCTACCTTATGTCTTGCCATCAACCTATAATTATACACTTTAAAAAAATTACATTAAAGTATTATTAGGTTGCAAATTCAAGCACTTGAATGTTAAGAAATGCTAGATTTAAGGTGGCTCCTGCAACCCTCATTCTACCCTACTGTGCATCCAGTCTGTGCTCTTGTGGAAAAAATAGTACGTGATCGTGTAATAAAAGACTGTATCAGAACTACAGATACAATTCTGAGACAGAAGTCACAGATTCCGTGACTTTCCGGGACTTCTTCTGGAGAAGGAGCTGCCAGCTGCGGGGCTGTAAGAGCAGAGGCCCCCATCCCACTGGAGCAGTGGCTTGGGCTGGGTCAGCCCCTCTGTCTACCCCTGCCCTGTCCCAGGGTATTTTTAGTAAAAGTCAGGAACAAGTCACGAGCTTCCATGAATTTTTGTTTATTGCCCACGACCTGTCCGTGACTTTTACTAAAAATACCCGTGACAGAATCTTAATCATAACACATATGCACAAAGGGGCAGAACTGAGGTTTCACAGACAACTGTAAATCTAGCATTTCCCAACTTCAATAATGTTCTTTTAAGGTAATTTTTGCATGCAACTCCGTGTGTTATTTTTTAAGGAAAAAAGTAAAAACGAATTATATTATGTGCAACTGTAACATTTCCCCCCTTTCCAACAGGCATCGTCAACAGAGGTTGAACTCTGAACCTTCAACATTGCAGTATGGATTGGTACTACTTGAGCTACAGAACTACCTCACCAGGCAGCAGAAGGTTGTTATCCCAGAGGGAGGATGGACTAGTACAATCAGGAGATTGGCTCCCCACTGACAAACTCTGGGAGTTGGAAGGGCTCCAGTCCCATGTAGTACCCCAGGGGCTGGGGAGGGAGACCGGGGAAGTGGATCCAGGTGGATTTATGGGATGGAGAAACCCAGACTGATTACTGCCCCCCTCTGATGCTCCAAGGAGGCAGAATGGGCCACTGGGGCCATCCATTTGTCTTTAGTCTGGAGAGCCCTCCTCTCCACCTGTCCCATCCACTCTGGCTGCTCCCAGCTAGTACAGCTTGCTATTGTCGCTTTGGCATGATCTCTGACTTAGAATGTATGTGTGTTCAATTACTTGGGCACACTGCCAATGTTTTTCCTGGGCCATGCAAGTGAGAGAAGGGATGTCAATCTTTAATAGTTCATATCTTGGCAAAAGATGAACTGAATTTCATGGGACAAAGAAAAGGTAAATGGGTAGCCTGAAGGTGTTCTCTCAGTCAAATATCAAAGGCTTTTGGCAAACACTAAAGGTGTGTGAGCTCCTCAAAGAAATGGAAAGCATTAAGCATTCTTAATATAGGGATCACTAACAGCTCTCCCCACCTCTATAATATGGCCCTAGCTCAACAGCAACCCTTTCCACTGCCCCTTTATTGTCAACTGTTGATAACTTCACTATCCTTTCCATCAATTAGACTTTTAACTTCACAGACATCTTCAACTCTTCCTGCTCTCTTGCTCCCAGGTTCTCTCCAAATTGTCAGTTTCTTACATATCATTTCTAATATCTGACCTTTCTTTCTGTCCAGATAACTAGGACTCTCATCCAGGCCCTAATCTCTTCTCTTGATTACTGCAGTTTCCTCCTCTCTGGCCTTTCTGACAACCATATCTTTCCACCTCACCCTCAATCAATACAAACTGCAGCTGCTATAATCATCTATTACTGCCCATTACTCTAGCCCACACTGTCCATCTCTTTCAATCTCTTCATCACACCTATTCCATAATTAAGAGCCCTGTGTGGATACAAAATTGATATTCACGGATGAGAATATCAGCTGATATAAATCGGTATCCGCGGAACTGCAGGGCTCTACTGGGAACCGCGGAGGCAAAAGCAGCAGCCTGGTGCCCCACGCTGACAGCTCCTCCAGCCCGGCTGTACGGCCCCCAGCCCAGCCCACAGCACTAGCACAATTAGGGACAGCTGCTGGAGACCCTGGTGGGCGGGACTGGGGGTGAAAGAGCCATGCTGGAGGAGCTGCCAGCATGGGGCACTAGCTCCTGGGAGCAGCGGCCCACCAGGCTGCTGCTTTCATTGCTGCGGTTCCCGTTAGAGCTCTGCAGCTCCGTGGATACCGATTTGCATCCGTGGATATAAGTGTACAGGGCTCTATCCATAATATCAAGTTCTTGTTCTAATCTTCTAGGCCCTTCATTATTCTGCTCTCTCATCCTTATCCATGTTCTTCCTACCACTTTCCACCCCCCACCCAGCCACCACATATGTTCTTTTGCTTTCTTCAACACTGTCCTTATGCATGAAATGACCTGCCTGAACTGATCCTCCTCCAAATCCCTCCCCAAAACCCACTTATGTTGCTGTGCCACAAGTCAACCAACTAGCGGTCACTTCCCATTTTATTGTTACACAGGTTTGAAAATTTATTTAGTAAGTCCTTAGGTAATATGATGATAGGTGCTACAGAGTACCCTAAAATAGACTAATATAGAATACGCCTCATGTCCCACAGCCATTAGGGCTCACTCATTGCCCAAAGTGTTTAGCAGATTCTGGCGCTCCATACACTCCCTCACATGCTATTATTTTAACCGGCTGCCTGTGAAGAGGGCAAGAAAACACAAAGGGGTGCACATTTCCAATGCCACACCACTCAATCATGCCAAAGCCTGAAGGTGAGACAACACCTGACAAAAACCTAAAAGGAGGGTAACACAAAACCTCCACAGGATTAAATCCCTTCATGTGAATGGCCCCCCATAACCCCACATCGCGATTCTTTCTTTCTGAAGTAACTAATGTTCAGCAGTAAGAGACGGAGGACTCTCCCTCCCGGAGCAACGCTGAGAACTTTGGGGTAACTCCCCTCCCCACAGGGGGCACCAGGGAGCCTGCCCAATGCCACAGGCTGGGGGCGGGACCCCTCCTCATGCCCCACAGATAGGGTGACCAGATGTCCCGATTTTAGAGGGACAGTCCCGATTTTGGGTCTTTTTCTTATATAGGCTCCTATTGCCCCCCACCCCCATCCTGACTGTTCACACTTGCTGTCTGGGCGCCCTACTCACAGATGAGGCTGGTACATCGGGGGCTATTACAGAGACCCTCACCAAGGAGACCAGGAGCCGCCTGGGGGGCAGGGGACACGCTGCTGCCAGGGAGCCTGGATCTTCAGAGGGGTCCAAGCACCGACCCAGGAGCTCACGACCTGACCCCACGTTTTCCTACGCGCCCCCCCCCCGGGCGGCCCCCACCACTCCTGCTCCCCGCTCCATCCACGCCCCCTCCTGCCCTGGCCGCCTCAGCGCCTCTCACCCCCGCGGGCCTCGGCTCCCCGCGCAGGTAGCGCCGCTTCAGACGCTCCACGGAGCTGCTCAGAGCCGGGCTCGCCATGAGCCGCCCCGCTCGCGCCTCCGCCACTGGACACAAGCGCCCCGCGCTATGCCGCTGCGGCGCGGCAGTTGGCCGCCGCCGCGGCGGCACTGAGCATGCGCTGGCTGACGGAGCCAGCTCCGTGACGCCTGCTGACGCCGCTGCCCGTAGTGGAGGGGGGCAGCGCGCCCCCTGCTGGCCGCGGGCTCACAGGGCGCAGCTCGGCGGGCGGAACGCTCGGGGTGTGGGGGCAACCAGCTGGCGCCAGGGGGAAGAGCGGAGCCAAAATCAGGGCTGGGGGTAGGAGCCGGGCTTGAGGCGCTGCTAGACGGTGGCAGAGGCGGGGAACAGTTACCCTAGGCGGGGTTAGCTGCCTGCAGCGGGGGGAGGAAAGAGGAGCTCCCCCGCCCCTTGCAGGACGGGGCATCTCAGCACCCGCTTCCCAGGGCTGCGCTCTTATGCCCAAGGCTGCAGGGAGAGTTGCCCTGTCTGAAGCCAGGTCCTGAGCTGCTAACGGAGACTTGGGTCAGTGAAATAGTTTCTAAACCCCCCCCCCAATAATAATTCAGTGTTTAAAAGAAGCCCGGGTCAGTTTGTATAAAGCCCCACAAATGTATCTTCGCGGCTGTTCGCATTGCCTAAACTGGCCTGACTTTTCCTTGTTAGCCCCTATAAATAGAAAGAAGAACAGGAGGACTTGTGGCGCCTTATTGACTA